TTTGAGCTGCATCAACTCGCTGGGCTAAGAAGGTGGCAGGAGGTTGAGGTAGCGGGAAAAAACATAAAATTTCCTTTTTTTTAATCGCTTAAATGAGAATAAAAAGGGGCAGCTACAGCTTAGGAGTTGCTCGAGTTTACCAAACCCTTAAAACCCTGAACTAAAGAAAAAAAATAATGTTTGGCTGGGGTATGGGAGGATAAAGAAACCTTCCAGGCCTTGGCCAGGTTTTTTTTCCACCCGGATTTATCCTGGGAAGTAACTGTTACCCCTCGGCCACGGGGAAATCGAGAGATTCCCTTTAAATTCCCTTATTTCTCCCCCTGTCGCTGTCACATCCCCTTTTGCTGTGGGTGATTTACGTAAAGAAGAAAAAAAAATTTACGTAAAGAAGGTTTTATCCTGGCTTTGCGCATTAATAAATATGGGATTTACTGTAGAATCACATATTTTAAAATATATTCAAAATAAAAAGGGGTATAAAACGTATTTAAAATACATTTAGAAGATATTAAAATAGATTAAAAAATTAAAACAGATCGAAATAGATTAAAGTGTACCAAAATAGATTAAAGTGTATCAAAATATATTAAAATATCCATTAAAAAATGGGACTGAGGGGTATTAATAAAGGGTAAAACCCTCTTTGCCTCCAGAAGCGGAGGCGGGAGGGGAAGGGAATCACTCAGCCCAAATCCCGCCGAGCTCCGGAGAAATCGGTTTCCCCCACCTCGCCTGCACTCCCTGCCCCAAAACAGAGCTCTGCCGCTCGCCGGAAAGATTGTGAAGGGCTTTGCCAAACATCGCTCGCGCCGGGTTGAAACGAACCCCCCGCAGCTCTCTGTACGTGTACGGATTGGGATTACAGCGCTGACGTTTCGAGGGGATTCAGGAATTTGCGGCCTCGTATCGGCTCCACCAAATTCCAGCCCCGCGGCGGGATTTAATATACGGGTTCCTGAGTCATTAGAGAAATAGGAGATATTAAAAGAGATATTACGAGAGGAAATGGGCTCAAGCTGCGCCAGGGGAGGTTTAGGTTGGATATTGGGAAAAATTTCTTCACGGAAAGGGTGGTCAAGCACTGGACCAGGCTGCCCAGAGAGGTGGGGGAGTCCCCATCCCTGGAAGCGTTCAAAAAACGGGCAGAGGTGGCACTTGGGGACATGGTTCAGTCTGGTCTGCCCTTGACTGGTTTAGTGTGGGCTTGGTGGTGTAGGTTAATGGTTGGGCTGGATGATCTTCAAGGTCTTTTCCAACCTAAACGATGCGATGATTCTAAATAAAATCCTCTTTTCCACTGGACAAAGACCTGCACCCATCTTTTTTTCTACCCGTCTCTGCCTCGAGCCTGCGAAAAGCACGGCTGGAATAAGGAGCAAAAAACTGGCTCTGAGCCTAAAGGGTACCTTGAGGTTTCCTCTTCTTCCGTAAACACGACGTGACGTATCTCTCCAGCTCCCGCAGGGTGGATGGCTTTAACGTCTCAAAGTCAATCTCGATCTCATCGGGATTGGAGTTTTTGAGCGAGGGCTCTCTCGACTGGATGATATGGACGACTCGGCCCAGTTTCTCACCGGGGAGTTTGTTAATGTCCAGGCTCAGCTGCCTCTTCTCCTCATAGGACATGGGTTTGCACTTCTCCTCCTCCTCAGACTCGTAGGCTGGAGGGGGCTTGCTGTTCTTCACCGTCACGGGCTCCTTCTTACTACTTAAGAACAATTAGGAAATGTTATTATAGAACACACCGCAGGGCCGAAAAGCAGCCACTTGGGTCTAACCTCTTAAACGTAACCACTAAATCGCTCCAGTTTTAATATCTTTACTTTTTATCCTGGAAACGAGCATCTTTCTCCTTTACAGCTCGAATTTGAACCTCAACCACAAGGCTGGGATGCAGAAAGCTGAGCTTAACCCGCTGTTAGACACCCAAAGCTGAGCTCAGCTGCTCTGAGACACCCAAAGCTGAGCTCAGCCTGCTCTCGGACACCCAAAGCTGAGCTCACCCTGCTCTCGGACACCCAAAGCTGAGCTCAACCGGCTGTCAGACCCCCAAGGCTGCGCTACCCATCCCAACGTTTGCTCTCCCAGATTGCTGAGCGGCTCCAGGAGGCAATTTAGAAAAGCAGGAGCAGCTCCCGAGAGGAATTCCTTACATCTGCACTTGGCTGAACCAAGGCTCAACCAGTGCTACCCGTTTCTCACAGGAAAGGCAAGAGGTTGGGCTGTTTCAGAGCCCGACACCCCAACGGAGAAGTAAAACCCAGCACCCGTAACAAAATATGTTCATAAGAAGGGAAAAAAAACCCAGCTACGGGGACTCCCTGACATCACCGTCGGGGTTATCTACACGTCAGGAACTTCAAAACTGATGGAGGTAGATTTGTAGAGATTTATCCCACCGTTTGCAGCAGATTCAGTGCTAACGCAGTTAATAAATGAAGTCTGGGTAGCAAATCAGCCCAGAAATAGTAAAGGATGAGGTTAATTGTGCCAGAGACGGTCCATTTCCCTAAAATAATCCGCTGCCGTGCCCGCTGGGGTTTATTCAAAATCTGAACACACTAAATGCTGCGGTGAGGCCCGGGGACAGAGACAAGCTCCAAGATCTTGCTCGTTATTTCCTTCTTTCTTAATTTCAGCTAAATATGCCAAACTACTCCTTTTCGCCTGGGGTTAAGTACCAAGATGCTGCCTCCCCTTCGAGGCGGCAGCTGACAAGTGGTAGAGACTCGGCTCTCGGCATCTTCCCTCTTAACTTAAAACCTACAGCTTCCAAAAAAAGGGAGAGGGAGGAAAAATTAGAGGATTCAAGGGTTTGATATCCAACAGAGCGACTCCACGTGATTTCCCCCCCCCGCCTCTCCCAGACTCAGCGTGTTCACAGCAGCCCCGCGGAACAGCAGCAGCCCCGAAAAGCGAAGCTGAACTCGTGGCTGGGACCTGACGCTGAGCAATGCCTCCGGAGGCGAGGGGCTTGCTGCGAGTCAGCCCTAGCAAAGGTGTTACTCGTCACGGAACCTGTGTATAACTAAGTTAATTAGCAAAAGGGAAATAAAAAAATGTAAGCGCTGTGCGGTAAAACGTAAGGATTACGTGACGGAAGAGGGACGGGGCTGACCTGGAGGTACTGCTGTTGCTGTTGCTTTTCTTGGCCTTCTTGGGTGGCGGTTCCTTGGCTTTGCTTTTCTTGGTGTCCTCCAGCTCCTCCTTCTTTTTGTGCTTCTCCTTCTTCTTCTCCTTCTTGTCTTTCTCTTTTTTCTTTGGTTTGTTCTGCTGTGGCTGGGACAGGGCTGCAAGCTGTTCATGCACTGCTTTAAGCTGAGAGGCAGACACACACAAGATCAAGATACTTTTGCCCAGCACCTCCTCCTCTTCCATATTAATTAACTTTTTTCTCTACTGCCTAACGCTTATCTTGTACTATTAATTAAGTCGCTTCTTCCAGCTTTCCATCACACCGCGATTTCTGTGTGTTGAAGTGTTGAAGAGGAAGGAGACAACCTCTTTACGGGTGTTCCTCCCCGCTCAAGCAGAAGCGGGCTGCTCGCTTCGTCAGCGCTAATGCTGCTTTAATTACCGGCGCTAACGATGCCGTCAACGGGGACGATGCGGGAGATAAGGCCAGGGGGTTGCAGGACTGCTCGTTATCTCCTGGGCTTCCCCCACGCCGGGTAAATCCTCGCTCCGGCCCAGTTCAGGCAGCCCTGCCGTGTCCTGCCTGCTCAGAAGACCCCACCCCAGCGCAGGCAGCAAATTCCTGCCGTTGGGGACCATCCTCTGTGTCCTAACAGGAACTGGAAGGACCGGCCTGAAAAGCACCGATTCCTTCGTGCATCACTTTAAAACTAAGGATTTTGGAGCGCTCTGCAGTTGACAGTCGCTATTGTACAACCAGAAAGTCTACGGCTTTGAGCAAAGTCCCCGAGGCCACCGCGTTTCAAGAGGACGGACACGCTGGGCCACGTCGGACACCCCCAGTCCACCACGACAGATGCGGTACCTGTTCCTGGAGCTCCGCTAACCGCTGAGCTCGCTCCTCCTCGGAGTCATCCGAGGAGCTGTCGCTGTCGGAGGAGCTGTCGCTGCTGCTATCGCTAGATGAAGGGGGAGCCACCTTGGTGGGAGGTGGCACCACCACCGGAGAAGAAGCTGGAATTACAGGTTCTTCTGGTTCATCCGGCATCTTGGCGAAGCGCATCTCGAACACGTCCTGAAAATACAGAGGAAAAATAACGCAAGGTTTGGCAGAGTAGGATACGACAAGCGTGGTTGTGATCTCCAAGGTGTCCTCTACGGACTTGTGGTCTCTACCCAAGCAATCAACACCACGATGCCGCATGTCGCAGACAAGATAATTCCCTGAAAGCTCCAAGTCCGCTTGGAATTTTGACTGTCTCCAAGATGGTTTTGAGGGGAAAAATTTACTGGCAAGAAAGATAAGACCCGTTTAAAAGCCGCATCGTCCAGCTTCTTGAGATCAGCTGCATCTTCTTCCCAATGGATTCGCGGAGAGCTCAAGGCAGGAATCGCAGCCGCAGCTCCGCTGTTGCAATCCCCTCTCCTCTTCTGCCCGCCTGGATTTTCCCAACCCACGTCCCAAGAAAACCACCTCGACTCGACCCAAACACTCGTGTAAGGACATTTCCCGTTATCCTGAAGAGTGAGGGATGCGAAGCTGGTTTAATTCTAGTTATCCCAACGATGTGAAAGTCCTTTTTTCCCCTAAAGCCTGATATGAAAATCCGTTTTCATTTAAACCTAAGGCAAGGCAGATAAGGTGGGAGAGCCCGGCTGTATTTAAAGCCTGGTTGTATTTCTCGGTGCCTGTTGACTTCATTTGAAGGAAGGGTTTTGAGTGCGCTTTTTTTTTTTTAAGTTTCCCAGAAGAGGAACAAGTGTCGCTTGTACCCAGACAGAGGTATTTTTTTTTCCCCAAGGTGCCACCTTCTGAAGGGGAAAGCACGTGCAGACAAAAAAAATGCCATTTTTTGGCATCTCCTGCAAGGCCAGACCTGAAAATGGGCTCGATTCACCTGCTTTTAGGTTGTTTAGAAGTCTGGCACTTATTTCTGAGCTTAGCAACTTGCCCCGGGCTCCTTTTGGAGCCCGTAAGGAGACCGGCAGCTCCCGGAAGACGACTCAAGCAATGGCGGGAAGGACAACTCGAAGGCAGCAAACGTGTTGCTGTCCACCTCTTCAAGACCGAGGCATAAAAAAATAAAAGAGAATTCCTCCTCCTGCCCAAAGGTTTGACTTTCAGTCTACAGTTCTCTTTTATTTTTTCTGTTTTCCACGTCCTGGGTGCACGGCTGTGACCAGAAACCCACCAGACAAGATCCGTGGTTTATTTCTAAAACCCAACGGACCGTAAATATTAACCATGTGCACGTTCACAGAGATTTCTGGAACTTATCCAAAATCCTCCAGCAAGTCAAACACCCCGCGATATCAAATCACGTCGATTTAACTCATCGCTCGAGCGCGGGAGCGACGTTTTCCTTCCTGAAGGCTTCCAGCTCTTCTATTCAGGCTCATCCATGTGATTTTAAGGACCTGCTGGGCTCTCCCCTGCCTCGACATACATTATTTTTCCACCCTCCTTCTTAAACGCGAGCAGGCGGAGCGCTGCTGGACCACGCTTCTCCACCCTCAGCCTCCTCGTGCCTTTATTCAGGGCTTTTTTCCCGCAGCGACGGCTCTTCCGGGCGCTCAAGACACCGCTTTGCTGCCTCCATCTGCTGGCAGAAACGCCACCGACTTCGTTTATGCGCTCCGGCTCACATTTCAGGGGAAGGAGCAGAAAATGCTGGAGGAAAAGGAGCGATTTCTCAGCTCCTCCAGCGACGGCGTCGCTTGCGGGATGATGGAGAGGCAGGCACGTACATCGTCCCTGATTCACTGCACTTAATGGCTGTTTACAATCTAATTATTGTTTTCCACAAACCGGAAAGTCCGGTGCTTGATTACCGCTGGCAGGCAATGCCACGTCACCGTATATACTCGATTTTTAAATTCTCTCGGGTCAGAAATAAAACCTTCCTAATTGTTTCATGCCTATCTAGTCTTTTAATTACCAGGAAGGCTAATTAAAGTTCCTTCGTGTGAAGTTAAAAAGCAATCCAGCAACTGGGAGGACCTGGGTTATGAGAAGCCCCGGGTGTCCGAAGGATCCCTAGGAATCCATTCAGGAAAGGATGGAAGAGAAAACCCTGCTGAGTAGGTAACGAGCTAATTAATGCCCTTTTAATCAGGGATTCTTCCTGCTACTCTTTCGCACATCACCCGTACCGCTGACCCATCCTCGCCTGGACATGTATAAACCACAAACCTCCCCCACGAGCTGGCGTTAACCCTGAAAATCCCAAGAAATCATCTCCCGACAATGAAGGGGTAACAAAAAGCAGAAAAAAACCAAGTTATTTCAGAGGTTGATGCTTCCAGGACGGAAGCGTACGGCAGGCAGCAACCAGGGCTGCCAATTAAGCAAGACGTGGCGTATATCGTTCGTGGCGAACTCAAGTCCAAACTTGAATCTTCAGCCTTGTTTCCAAACCTCAGCGAGTGCTCCAGAAACTTCCCTTTTAAATTTTTATTTCTGAAATGGGTTTTCTGGACACGGGAAAAGCCAACGGAGAGGTGCCGCCCTGGTCTCAGCCGGGGTGGGGAGCGGGATCCAGTTGGTATTGTGGCACCCACCTCCATCGCGTCACCGCTACGGGGCTGCTCTGAAATTTAACGCCCGTTTTCTGGGGACTGTTACATTCAAAACCCACTTTTTTTTTCATCTTTACGTCAGAAATGAAGTTTCCTGAGTGGCTGAACTCAGGGACGTGTTCCTGAGCCTGTCCGTGGGATTGATGCGGATGAAACCCTGATCCCGTGCTGCCCTCGGTCACCTGGCAATGCCAGTCGCTGAGGATTTCCCCCAGAAAACGGGGTGAAGAAAAGAAACGTCACAAATTTCCGTGAAACTCTTCAGCCTGCGACAAGTGACCGGAATTTCAGAGCAGATTCATTCTGCTGCCGGTTGGAAAACGCTCCAGGACGTCGCTTAGAAGAGGTTGCGAAGTTCTTCATTAGAGCAAACCAAGAAGAAAAGAGCAGCCAGAGAGCGAGCATCGCGTTTTCCAGGTGTCTACTTACCATAAAATCAAGAAAAAAGACAAGTAAGATGCTGAATTCTACTAAATTCATGCTAACAGCAAGCCGAAACACACGTTTCCTCAGCATACGCTTGTCTCAAATTAAACCAGCCCAAACCTGAGCTGTAATTTTATAAAAGCATCATGAAAAAACACAAGCGCCTAAAAACTCAGGACGCATCTGAGAGGACGCGCGCGTTGGGTTTGCTGCCGCTTCCTTTCCTTGAACCTCGGGCGCAGCTTCACATCTGGATCAAAGCAAAACAGCTGGCAGCCTTTTCACGAGCCGCTATTTTCCTTGAAGTTCCTTCGACTTCAGCGGAAGGCGGGCAAGCTGCATCACGCGGAGGTTTTTACGTGAGGTTCCCAGTTAGCAAAACCCAGCCAAGCTATTAATATCCAATTTCTCCTTTTTTTGGGGTTGTTTCTCCAGTCAAACGTCCTGCAACCGAGTAGTTTCCCCCCAATTTAATAGCTTTCCCCCCAATTTAATAGCTTTTCTCCCAACCTAATCGTTTTTTCCCATCTCTCGGGTGCTTCCTGGTGTAACTCAGATCCCTTCTCAACCCATTTTCTGAAGGCTAAAGCAAACCACGCCGATTTTCTTCTCCTTTCACGCAGCCACAGCTCCTCCGCCTTGTCGTTCTGCTCCGTGCCGCTGGAGTTGCGCTTTCCTACGCTACGGAAACCTCTTCCCGTCCGGATTTCGTTCCCGCGTCCTTGCGGACGCCTCGCATCCTGCCAAGTCCTCCCTGCGGCCCCTCCTCGCCGCAGCTGAGGCGTCTTTCCGGCAGCCGGCACGCAGCTCCAACGCGGGTTCTGGGGACTCCCCAGCAGCTCCCAGACGCTCGGGTGGTACCAAACGTGACACGGTGAGGTTATTAAGGGACCGAGCAACGTACGGCAGGAAAGCTTGTTTTTTAGGAAACAACAGCCGCACCCACAATCCTCCCAAGGCCAAAAAACCCCAGGACAAATCAGCATTTAAGCGAACGAACTGCCCGAAATCATGGACCTAGGGAATGCCCGAGTGTTTTTAATGATAGGTGTTGAAATGCTTGGGTCAAAAAACCAAATGTAGGAGCTCTTTGTCCCCTCGCAGTGGTTTTCCGCAGCTGCCGCGAGCTCCTTCAGCAGCAAAACGAGCTCGGTCTCTCCCGGATCCGCTTGGAGCAAAGTGGTTTTCCCTGCTTCGGCCAGGCGACCCCGAGTAGCAGCTCCGAATTACCGAGAAAGGAGGGAATTGAGATGAGTTTTTGGAGTGGCGGAGCGTGCGCATTAAGCCAAGCACTTCACTCGAGACATGTCGTTTCTTTATCAGCTAATTCATGAATTACAAACCCTCCAGGAACGAGCGGAGAGCAGAAAACTTCCCCGTAGGAATGACGAAAGAGGTCATTAAAAAAGCACAACCAAGCAGGTACTGTCGCTTATTTTCTTTCTAGGTGTTTTGGGGAGAAGAGTGACGTTTTGGAGCTGCACTCCTTTTATCAAAAAGGTAAGAGGACACGAAAAAGACTATTCAACAAAATAAAGAGTTTAAAGAAGCAAATTGGACTGAGTCAGCTCAGTTCTTTTATCACTTCCACAGCAAAAAATAACTTTTTTTTACTGTTATCTACCACCCTGGCATTTTTTTTACGTTATTTCAAGACGATGTGGCCCTTACGCTGGAAAAATAAGTCAACAGAGACATCAGCGTTCATCGAAAACCGAAGCAGGCTGCGACAACGCGCGTCCTTACCTGCAGTTTCCGTGCCATGGCCACCACCTCATGATCAGCGGGGTTGTACTTATAGCAATTGGAGAACATCAATCGTACGTCCGCCGCGAATTCCTGAGCATCTCGGTATTCCCGGTTCTCCAGTTTAGACTAGAAAGGAGGAGAGTTAAAAAAAAAAACAACCACCAAACAAAAAACGCTCCGCTATTAACAGCGCAAATACAAAAAATGGATTGACTGAATAAATACAGCCCCATGGTGCCCTCGGATTTCGCGCACCCGTTTTCTCCCTACGCTGGAACAACTAACTTTGCTCAAACGAAGGATTGCAGCTGGTTTATAAAACATTAAGAGCCGACTACGGCCATCCTCAGAGATGTTCAGAAGAGGACTAGGTGCTCTCCAAGCCACGTGCTCGCTGTCTGCATGGTTGATAGCAGCTAGGCGGTTTGGATGAAGACCCAAATGGGGATGCCATGTTGAAAACCGGCGCTGAAGGCCAGGAACCTGGCTCTACCTGACCTCAAGCAGGAAGGGCTGAACCTCCACGTGCGCCCGAGATCGTGTGTTAGCAGATGAATACGGTGGGCTTTGCTCAGATCGTTCCACTAGAAGGAAGATCTCAGAGTTAACGGCGTAGCCCCTTGGAGGGACAGGGTGGTCCCTCACCCAATGATGGAAGATGACAGGCTTTGTTGACGCAGGGGACAGGATTCAACCATCTCACCGGCTTTCAACCATCCACCCTCCCTCCAGGAACCAAGCTGATGTCTCTAGAGCCTGGATCAGCAGTGTGCCCAGGTGGCCAAGAAGGCCAACAGCATCCTGGCTTGTGTCAGGAATGGTGTGGCCAGCAGGAGCAGGGCAGGGATCGTCCCCCTGTACTCGGCGCTGGTGAGGCCGCACCTGGAATGCTGTGTCCAGTTTTGGGCCCCTCAGCACAAGGACATTGGGGTGCTGGAGCGTGTCCAGGGAAGGGCAACGGAGCTGGGGCAGGGTCTGGAGCACAGGGCTGGTGGGGAGCGGCTGAGGGAGCTGGGGGTGTTCAGCCTGGAGAAGAGGAGGCTGAGGGGAGACCTCATCGCTCTCTGCAACTCCCTGACAGGAGGGTGTAGTGAGGTGGGTGTTGGTCTCTTCTCCCACGGAGTTAGCGATAGGACGAGAGGAAATGGGCTCAAGCTGCACCAGGGGAGGTTTAGGTTGGATATTAGGAAAAATTTCTTCACGGAAAGGGTGGTCAAGTACTGGAACAGGCTGCCCAGAGAGGTGGGGGAGTCCCCATCCCTGGAAGTGTTCAAAAAACGGGCAGAGGTGGCACTTGGGGACATGGTTCAGTCTGGTCTGCCCTTGACTGGTTTAGTGTGGGCTTGGTAGTGTAGGTTAATGGTTGGACTGGGTGATCTTAAAGGTCTTTTCCAACCTAAACAATTCCATGATTCTATGATTCTATGACCAGCACCCTAGGAGGGCACAGACCTGCTCTACAGCTACCTGCTCCGGTCCCAAGCCTACACGGAGCTGGGAGGACTGGTCTGGGTGGAGACAGCCTCGAGATGACCCCTCATCCCCCCCGAACACCACAGCCAACTGTGGCAACGCCAGCTGAGCCAAGAGATGCTTCACGCCCCCTTCTCCCTCCCTGGGAAAGCAGGGTTGAGTTGGACAACTGGAAGACAGAGAACGCTCAACAGCTGTCCCAGCAACATCTGCCAAGGGTGACCTCAGCCGCACAGCCCTGCCAGACACTTGGGCAGCGAGATGTACCGGCAGTAACGGACGTGCAAGACCTAACGCTCATCACCGGCCAGTCTGGAGGAGAAAGGAGAAAGCCAAAGCCAAGAATTTAATTCAGCATCCCCACGGTTTCGCCCACCAAAATCCTACAGGTCCGAAAGGCCGTGACAAAGGAAGAGCCGTGATCCTCGTTGGCTTCAGCCCTGGTGTAACCTCAGCAAGGAGCAGGCTGCGGGAAGGGAAAATTCAGTCCTCTGGATTTAAAACGCAGGCCCAAACTGAGTGAAGGAGGAGTTAGAGCGAAGCTTAAACTGCCTGCACGGGCGTTCACGGCGTAGCTAAAGAGTTAAAGACTTCTAAATAATGAATTAAGGTTTGGTAATTAAGAAGTTAAAGACTTCTAAATGAGGAATTCAGGTTTGGTAACTAAAAAGTTAAAGACTTCTAAATAAGGAATTCAGGTTTCCTAGCTAAAGTTAAACCTCTAAATCGTGAATGAATGTTTCAAGGGGAAACGTGGATGTCTTTGCAGTCACTCTTTGCAATTAAACAACTCCAATAATGAAGTAATGTTTCAAGGGGAAACGTGGATGAATTTGCAGTCGCTCTTTAAAATAAAGCAATTTGAAACTAGAGGGAACTACCTGTGCTTCACAGAAGACCGATTTAGACGAACAACTTCAGAAAGACGGGTCTTTATTTTCAAAAGAATTGAAAATGGGGTTGGTTTAAATCAAATCCCCTTATTCCTCTGATTTATGCTCTCTGAGGCCATCTCCTGGGCTAAAAGAAAAGGGTAGATTTATACAGTAATGGAAATTGTCTATAAAAAACCCATGCGAGCATCTCCTAAGAGCCCTTCTGGAAGGATGCCGGCTTGTTTGTTTTTCCCAAATGTCAGGGTAACAGCAAGAGGCGAAGAAGAGAGACCGAACGTACCAGAAACCTACAGCCAAAATAAATCTGGCAGACATCTGAAGGCGCCTGGTGCGCACGCGCGGGGAGAAAATTCTCTTTTTTTCTGCTCAGACCCCGACCTCCCCCTCCTATAAAGCTGAGCTTACTTTGATTGTGCTCAGATCCATGGGATGTTTAATGATATCGCAATAATCGTGCAGTCCCAGTGCTTCCACATCCACAGGTTTGTAGAAGGGCCAGGCGTAGGCAGCGTGTTTCTTGGCGAACATCTCTTTGATGATCCCGCTGCAGTATTTCAACTGCTCGGATATTTTGCTACTCTTTTCTACCACGTGTTGTTGAGAGTCTGGAACATCCTTCTTTGGAGGCTTCACCGGGCGGCTGCTTTCCCGACGCGGACCCAGCTTGGTGGACTTGGGTTCGGCAGGCAGTGATGACGATTCATGAATTGGGTCGATGGTCGTTGGTGTCGTGGTGTCTGCTTTCCTCTTCACCCCTTTTTTTGTCTATAACCGAGCAAATAAATCAACGTTACTTTTGGCATCGGACTTCTGGCTTCAACCAAGTTGCGTTTCTCATAGCGTTGACTCAGATTCGCTATCGCTAGTGACTCAAGCCCCGTGGCAACGCTACAAGAAGGACATTGGAAGCCCTTCCAAAAATATTCAGATACTGTTGACCTGTACTGAGCTCTAGAGAAAAACATATGGATCATCTCTGTTGTACCAGCAAAGGTCAAGGGCATGAGTCACTTCAGCAAGCCAAGATTTTCTTCCTGAGTCATATAAAACTCAAGTCAGGAAGGTTTTAAGAGGATGAACGGGGTTTCCACGCAAAACCTGGCTGGAATTCATCACGTCTAACTTTAACTGGTGTCAGAGAGGGTCACCGTAGGCTCCTAATGTTTCTCAAACCATGAATTTTTTGACCAAACTCTGGCCATTCCCCTTAAAAATGAGACTCCAGCAGCAAAGCAAAGGGTGACCACTCGACCAACCACGGCATTTCTACGCTGTGAAGATAATTTAAGCTGTCACATTAAGATAATTAAAGAATCACTCACCTTCACGGGCTGGGCGGGTGTTGGGATAACGGGAGGGTGAGGCTGGATGGGCTGGGGAGCTGGGGCCGGCGGCACGGGGGCCTGGGGAGCAGGCGGAGGCGGTGCAGGAGGTTGAGGAGGCACCATCGTCATTACCGGGGTCTGGACGATGAGGTCGGGGGTGACGGAAGGAAAGGAATGAGTCGTTTGCGCAGACTGGAGGTTTTGCTGCGGCGCCTGCGTCTGCGCCGGGGACGATGCTTGGGTTGCGTTCGGTACCGTGGATGATCCTGGTTTGGATGTCACTGCCAAGAGAAAAGAAAGAGAAGGTTGTTTCTCTCTTCAATCTTAATTGTTTTGTTTTAATGGGAAAAAACAATTAACGTTTCGTAATAACACCATTTAAAGACCATTGCTCATGAGATAATATCTTGCAGTTCCCGTTCTTGAGCAACCAGGCAGGGACAAACACTAGCCACGTTTTCCTTCATGAGGATTATTTTTATGGCTCGCTAGGTGAAATGGTGAAGAAGCTCAGGACCCAACTGTGCCAAAAACTGCTCCAGAAAAAGACCAAGATCAGGCCAAAGGTGTCCTCCTCTCCTCCTCTTCCCTTCACACAAGACTTCTTGCAGACAGGGCAAGGAGATGAGTGCCTCTTTTCCTGCCAACCCTTTTTTCCTAGGCAACGTTTCTTGACTATCATCATTCTGGAGCCAAAACTGGGCAGCTCTTCCTTCGGGAGCAATTTTGTCCTCCATTATCAAGAAGAGTTTCTTAATTCTTGGTGATTTAAGTCATCGCAGCTGCTACCGTCCGAGGGAAATCTCTCCGGATGGCTGGAGAGCACGAGGCCCTCGTTTGGCGATTTCAACCGCGGAGGCTGGGACACGAGGTTGGGAACGTCAGCACCGTCCTCGGACCTTCCAGTGGCCCTAGGGACGTCACCTCCTCGCTGGAGCTGCCGTTGCTTTGCAGGGCAAAGCTCTGATGAAGCTTCCAAACTTTCCGGCATGGAAAAGAGGAATGCTGCAACGCTTGGATGATGCTGGGACGCACCACCTTCAAGACGGAGGTATCAGCAAAGTGAGATCAACCCCCAAGTCCCCAGGCCGCAGAGAAGGTTTGGGATCAGCAGGTATTACAGGAACACCTTCCGTCAGATATCAAACATACCTCGTTAGCAATAATCGGATTTATATCCTCAGCAAGAAGAGAGCTCGGTATTTTTTAAAACACGAGGACTACCCTTTACGCACACCCCAAGCGGAGAGAAATCCCACTGCTTGATCTGTACCTGTGCCCACCTCCCAGGCCGCAGAGACTGGATTTTGGCTGCTATTTCACCGCTCTCTCAACAAGGAGACTCTCCCAAGCACAATGCATTAGCTGTGTGTCCTGCTTTGCCAGCTATCCCACACCTCTGCCATGATTCTCCGCCCAAAAAATAATTAATTAGAAAAGAAACGCAGCCAGATTTGCTCCCAGTCAGTCCCCAGGTGCTGCAATTACTGCAATCCCACTAGAAAAATGTCGCATATTAAGAGATCATAGAATCATCAAATCATTTAGGTTGGAAAAGCCCTTTAAGATCACCCAGTCCAACCATTAACCTACACTACCAAGCCCACACTAAACCAGTCAAGGGTAGACCAGACTGAACCATTCCCCAATGCCCCCCTCGGCCCGTTTTTTGAACGCTTCCAGGGATGGGGACTCCCCCACCTCTCTGGGCAGCCTGTTCCAATGCTTGACTACCCTTTCCGTGAAGAATTTTTCCCTAATATCCAACCTAAACCTCCCCTGGCGCAGCTTGAGCCCATTTCCTCTCATCCTATCGCTCACTACTTGCTGCTCAACTACGACTGCTAGCGAGCTTAATTCCACTAAACATGGAACAGCAACCTCTTAGGAGAATAAAATCGGGAGTCTTCATCCTGTTCTCCTTGCAAAATGACAGCACTTAGCAACCTCTTAGGAGAATAAAATCGGGAGTCTTCATCCTGTTCTCCTTGCAAAATGACAGCAGAGTGGTTATGTCCTCTAAATCAGGTGGGGTCTTGTAGCCAGAAGGATCCCGTGGTCCTGCTGGGATCTCGTGGTCCTGCCGGGATCTAATCCTGCTGGGATCTCATCCTGCTGGGATCTCGTGGCCCTGCTGGGATCTCATCCTGCTAGGATCTCGTGGTCCTGCTGGGACCGCGGAAGTAGCTCTGCACCGCTCAGGCAAAGCCGACACGCTTCACCTTCTCGTGGTCCTGCTGGGACCGCGGAGTAGCTCTGCACCGCTCAGGCAAAGCCGACACGCTTCACCTCCTACCTTATACAGGAGCTTGAGATTTCTATTAGAAACCTGCGGGGGTGGTGGCGGGGGTTGCAGCAAAGCCTTCCAGCCAGCATCACACCTGCATTTTAATTATTTAACCCCAAATTGGTTTATTATACGCATAGTGCGCAATATGATTTAACAGGAGGCATAGCAGACTAGAGGAAAATGATCTTGCAGGTCCCTGAATAGATATTCTACATAGTAAATATACAGTGCTTCTGTTATTCTATTCTATTATTCTACTGTATTTTTAAATTTAACCCCAAATTGGTTTATTACACGCATAGTGCGCAATATGATTCAACAGGAGGCATAGCAGACTAGAGGAAAATGATCTTGTGAAAATATATAGTGCTTCTGTTATTCTATTCTATTATTCTACTGTATTTTTATATTACTCTATTTAGTAAATCCCAACGTAGAAGCACCAGGCGTGGGATGCCCCAAACTACACGTGGGCCCTATATGGTTTCTGGATGCACCCACGGCTCCTTTTGGAGAGCTGGTCAATACTGCAGGCGAAGGGAGCTGGAGGGTGACGAGCTCGGGTGGGGACCTACACGTTGTCTACACTACAGGGTCACGGCAGGGAAAAGGAGAGACGAGTCTGTAAGCGCCTCTCTACGCCATGTAGCTAAATAGATCTTGTCTAAAGGTGATTTCATCGCTTCTCCTTCAAAGAGATGCTGAGAAAGGCGATGGCCAGTAATTTTCTAACCAAGAAGAGCTTCCCCCTGTGCACAGTACTGGAATATCAGGGATAGCGCCTAAAAAAATAGCAATTAAAAAAATATCTCAGCTACAAGTAATCACAACTTGGTTGTGTGCAGAAAAAAAACGTAAAGTGGGCTTGTTGGTGCTTCAAAACCTGAATTTCATCAAGCTGAAAGGACTCAACAGCACGGAGAGGAGAACTAGAGCCATGCAAGAACAACACATGTGGACACCAGCACAGAGAGAGACATGGTCAGCAAAAAACTGCCAAGGAAGGGAAAAGAGAATAAAGCAGAAATAATTAAAGCAGTTCAAGATGTTCAGCTTTACGACCCTTTTTTCGTTCTTCAGTGTTTTAGATTAAAAGATCTGAAAATGATGTGAAGTCCCTCTATGCAGAAAGATGATGATTGTCAATAATAAATCGGGGGATTTAATGAAATATTGCTCGTTTGAATTTCTACTGGCTGTCCAGGTGATGGCAGTACAGAAATGTTTTCTCTTCCCAACAGCTATTGAGGATGTTTGACAGCAACTACCAAAGTCCAATTTCTTCACTATTACCCAGACACCTGCTCCCCAAAACCTTCAAGTGCCGACCGCCAAAACCCCTGGTCATCTCCTGCCGATTTTCCAGTAAACCTCGGAAAATAACCTGCCCGGATCCCAGCGTGACCAGCCCGAGGCCGCGACAAGAAGATGCCTGAGGATTCACAGCATCCCAGAAGGGCTGCGGGACGCGCGTGCCAGCTTGCAGGCAGTAAATACAAGCAAAGCATCTTTTTTTTTTGGTGACACAAACGCGATGACGCTCCTGCACATGGTATTTTCCTTGGTATCGCCAGGCATTTGGGTTAAAAGAATTAGAATGATGTGAGATTAAGTGCAGTTGGTGGCCGGTCACGAGCGGTGTTCCCCAG